ACATTAGTTTATTTATATAATTTAATTTCGTATTAAATATTCTTAATTATATAACAGAATAAACCTGAGAATATTCCTTGGAAAAAATCGAAAGATATAGATGCCACGAGTAAGGGTGTCATTGACGCGAAAGCATCGATTATAACGGGGCTGTCACTAAAGGATCTGGACCATAGATTATGTCCGAAGAATAACGACGAAACAACAAAGAGTGCTAGGAGAACGGTTAGCTTAAGAGTGACCCCCGTTGCATGCTTCGCTCGTTCGATATTTCCTGCTCCTAACTCGTTCGACACCCTTGTGCTTCAATGGGAAATTAAATGAAAAAAAAAAAAAAAAAATTAGAGGGTGAAAAAGATATGATATTTTGTTTTTTGGAGGTTGTTGTGAATTATTTATTACCTAGCTGCAGCACTTAGACCATAAGCAATCATGTAAGCGATGGATTCTGTGTTCACACTGGATATAGATATTTTTGGAGATGATTAGAATATATTTATTTAATTTAATTTTTTTTTTGGACTTATGAACAAATTATTGAGCTAAGATTTATGCACAATGTAAAATACTTACCACATTGCTATAAGTGAAGTAGTGATTTCCGAGTTCGGCATCGATCCCGCTAACAAAACAAGAATCTCGAAAGCCCAATACTCCAAACTGATCAAAATGCAAAATCGTCAATTATGAGGTAATAAAAAAGGTACTCGAAAATTAATAGTTTTTTTTATTTTATTTTACATCAAACAATACTATGTTTGTTGTACTATACTGGCTCCGTCACTGAATCAGATAATTAAGTGTAGTGATTCCCAAAAAATAACTACTTACCAAACCATAGTTGCAGAAGGCAAAGCTAGCTTCAAGTTTGCACCGACATGACCAAACGATTCCGAAGTGAAACCATTCCAAGTTTTCTCAAACTTTTTCGATTTGAGCACATACAACCCTAATAAGAGAACCGAAATCCACAACGAAATCGAAGCAGCTAAAGGAGCTCCCCTATACCCAAGCCCGGTCCAACGAACCAAACCATAGGCAATGCCTACGTGGAGGACTAGAGGGACCAATGAGCATACGACAAGTGGCAACACGACACATTGTGTCTGAAGAAACCTCAAGATGTTTTGCAAGAACCCGTAAGCAAACAATCCGGGAATTAGAAACTTGAGATAGATACCAGCTAGTTTGGCTATTTGAGGGTCTTGATGTAGTAAAATTAGAACGAATTCGGAATACCACCAAAGAACGGATACGAAGATGGAGAAAGCGACGGTTGTGATGCATGAGGCTTGAAGGTGCACCCCTAGCATCCTGTACATCTTCGCACCGAATCCTTGCCCACATAGCGTCTCGAGTGCACCGCTCAAGCCAACCTAGACGAGAAGGTCACTTGTTAGCGAGAGAGAAATTTCGGACAAGCAAAAAATTGGGACAATAACAAAAGATTTGTTATTGAAGCAACATGACTCTAAATCTATGAAAGATTTGTTA